CGGGGCACTGGGCGCGCGGGCAACCGCGAACCGAGCGGACCCAAACGGGCAGCCAGGCGCTTGCCCGCCCTGTGCCACCACTGCCGCTCCGCAGCGCAGGACCAGGCACCTCCAGCTCTCACCGCCGCCGCAGATGCGGCCCGGGCACTTTTAGTAGGGCGGGAGGGCCAGAGAGCCGGGCCGCCCAGAGCAGCGATCAAGCCGCGCGGAGAGCCTTGCCGACCCGCAGAGAGCAGGGACGCACGCCCGCCCGTCGCCGTCGCCTGGCCGCTATGGATCTATTCGACTTTTTCAGGGACTGGGACTTGGAGCAGCAGTGGTAGGTGTCGATTTTTGCTTTTTCCTGTGATGAGCAGGTCCCCTGGTGGGGTCCGAGCTTTTCGCCTTTGTTAAGAGGAGCCAGGGGCAGTCGTGGGGGCGCCCCTCACGCCCTCCCACTTGCTCTCAGCTGCCTGGGGCTCCTGCCACTGTGACTCCTAGGTCTGGTGCTGGGGTGGAGGGAGGTCCCGGGAGAGGGAGGGATACAGACCCGAAAGCGTCACTTTGCACCCCAAGTGCAAAGAGTTGCATTTGGCCCACATCGAATCTGGTGCCCCACGGGGACTGAGCCCCACGACCTGGTCAGGCCGGCTTCCTTGCGCCCCGATGCTGCCCACTCGATATGCCTCAACTTTCCAGGTGTCCAACACTCGCAGCCAGCCGTGGGGGAAAGGCAAGCCGGCAAGGTGCCACTGGCCACCCTCGGCTTCCTCGGTGACCACCTCCCCCGCGCTGCCATCTCCATCCCCGTGGGATGAGGTGCACACACCTTCTCTGCCGGCTCAGCCCAAGTTCCCTGCACTCCTGCGCGGAGCTGCTGCTTTGCGGGCCTTGGCGCAGGGACCCTGAGTGCAGCCGACTTTGGTGCTTGGCTTTCAAGACTGGGTTTTTAAAGTTGGCCCCCAAAGTCTGCTGCTCCGATGCCCTTGGACGTTTAATTACCTCATAAACCCCCATTGGCCTCCCACTGAGAGGCGACCATAGGTTAGTGAACCCGGCACCCAGCTCTGATTCAAAGGGTTAGTCAGCTCTTCACAAAATAATCCTAAATTTGGCTCTGAGACGTTTTGAAAGATGATGCAGATGTGACTGGGTAGCCAGAAAGTTCTTACTCTCTTGGTGATGTGCATGTGTGCGTGCATAAATACTAATATATATATATAGCTATTAACTTTTCAAAAACTTCGCCTACTACAAACATTATCACTGTTTATTTGTTATAACATGTTAACGTATCAGTTTCCTTCTACAGCCTAAGGAACTAGACGGGAGGAGGGCGCGGTGGTAGTTGCTTAGAATTGCACTCTTGGCTGTTACCTTTTAAATGTAGTTAGAATAATTTGTAGTACCTACTAGTAGAGCGAAATCTTTTGCAATGTTGAACTACCAACAGCCGTTGGCTATGAATGCTGTGTATTTTTACAAGGATTTCCCCTGTTGATGTGATATTTTAGGCAATTTTCTTCTTTAAAAAAGGGTCATACGCTTTGCCAATAGCTTCATTATGCTAATCATGCCTCCTTTAGTGGCAAATCCAAGATAATCAGAACTTAAATGCATTTTATTTCACAGAAATTCTGGGTAAATCCTTGAAGCCCAAATCATGCTAGATCAGTATTAATCTGTAAAGCATTTCAATACCATACAGGGTTTTATCAGCTCTGGAGACCATATTACATTTAAAAAAATAATCACAATGTTATTTAAAAGTAAAGATCACGTTAAAATTACTGCTCAATTAAACATTAGGTTCCTGCACACAGGCTTACTCTGCTTCACTAATTTATTTTGCAGACAACCAATAACCACAGCACTACTATTTTGGTGCAATTTGCCTTATATATGGTGTGGTCAACATCATTAATTTAACATTGTTATAATTAATTTCATGGGTATAGTTCTAATGTTAAACGTATATAAGGTACAAAGTTTTAAAAACATGTTTACTGTATTATTTCAATTACAGTTTTATCTTATGGACACACGCTTGCATATTTAAAGGGGATGGGCTCTTTTATGCTTGATTTCTTTCTTTTTCACAAAGATATGCCACCTCTCACCTTTGGGGAGGCTATCTCTTCTTATCTTTAGGAAAATGTAACCTTTTCTCCTCCAGATCCCTAACTGTGCCACCTCAGTTAAGACGCATGCAAACTTGGACACTCCATGTATATTATGTGTGATACCGATGAATTAGTATAATACATCTGCATAAATAAGCCGGCCTCTCCCCTCAGGGTACAGGATCCAGGAAGATTTCTCCTTCTTACTGTTTGATTGTGAAGCTGTGATATCCGTTGCGCCCCTGTGTTTATAAACATTTGTAATTCAGTTGTGTTCTACATTTTGTACACCCCCACAGAGAAAAGGAACGTAAATGGGACCATAGTGAATGAGCTGAGAAGCTTGACATTGTCTTGAGTGGAAATGTGTACCTTTCCAAACTCTCTTTGGAGGTCTAGAGCGTGCCAGTTACATGTTCATTACATGTTTACTTCCCCTCCCTGGGAGTAAGACCTCCTTAAAGTAATGGCATTTACTCTCCCCTAGCCCCCGAGGAGGGCTAAGTTGGGAAAATGGGCCAGCAAAGTTGAGGACCTTATTTACCTTGAATCTATTCTTAACATTCACTTGTGGAACAATAAGCTCTGAGCCATCTCTCCTGCAACCCTAGATGTATGACAATGAACAGATCAGGACAGCTTAAAAACAAACTCATTTTCCTAGACAGAATGAAGAAAGACTGTACACACACCGGCAGATGTGTTATTTGCAAACACTTGAGTATAGTAAACAAAAAGTGCATGCCCATTTACAAACACACACATGTTAGGACGGATGCAAATGGGAAGGACGAGGTCTGAATGATGCTGCAGTGTGCACGTATGTGTGGTGTCTGGGAGTGCTCACATGCCTCATGGAACATGCCGCTGGATTTCCCAAACTGCAAGAATAACTTAATGGGTCATGCTCTGGACTCGATTAAAGGGCCAAAGCTCAAGTTCTTTAAGATTCCTGGATGAATGGGCAATGTTCACCTGAGTTTGAATTTAATATAAACCATTCTGTGAAAGAAAAGGAAAGCACAGATGTCTGTCTGTGTGCACCAAAGACATGACTGCTCTTTTAAAAAAAGGAGAGGAAAAGGTAAAGAAAAATGAAATTCTGTGATTTCAATTATTACGTACACTTGCTTGTGGTAACCAAGTAAATGAATTCTTAAGGTGACTGGAGGTCATGTGGCTAGATTTAGACTTGTTGACCAGCAATATTGATGTAATTTATCCCTATTTAAGAGAGGGCGAAACACAATTTCAGAGGGCCTACAAAGTACACAGCTGTTTAGTCTGGTAAGCAGCCCCGTCAGCATTGAACAGGTATTGCTTTGTGACAAGCTGAGGTTCTTTGTGGGGACGCTTATGTTTTTCTTTTCATAAGAAAGGAAGAGAGAGAGAGACCGAGACAGATAGACAATACGGAAGGGGGCAAATTATTAAAAATGAACAAGAAAGAAGAAAAGAAAGCCACCACGATAGCAAAATCAAAATGTTAAAAGCCCGGTGAAAATTCTAGTTCAGTGATTGTGACGGTGGCTGGCTTCTCCCTGCAAGGGACAGCAGCAATTGTTTGTAGTTTTTCTGTGATGTCTCACAAGTCGCCTAATTAGAGGCGAGCTTGCAAATGGGCAGTCATACAGGAAGAGTCTTAAACTCACTAAACTGTTATATAAATAGAAAGTTCAAAGGTCCGCGTGGGGCTGTCAAGGCTGCGAAGGGGCCATGTGCCGGCCAGGCCTCTCCCCCTCAGCGAAGGCCATAGCCACACTTTCCCCAGCATCCTCGACCTTGCAGCCTGTGGCCCGGTGGGGGCCCGGGTAAGGGTGGGGGCTGGGGGCGGGGGCGGGGGCTGCTCTCCAGACAAAAGTGAACTGTTTCAGTTCCAGCCAGGCTTGTCCCATGCACAGCGCTGCCTCAGCTCTGCCGCACAGGTCTTCTGAGGCCTCCGTTAGCTGCAGTCCTCCGGAAGAGCAGAACGGGACTGTTTAGGGATGGGAAGGTGTGGGAGTTGGAGGGAACACAACCTTCGCCAACCCGAGATAGCAGGACGGTGGTGGGGCGCAGGGGTGGGGCACCCTGTTTTGACTAAAGCCTAGAGATCCCAGGATTTCTGGCTCTCTGTCTCCATCCCTTTATCTTTCCCCTTTTCCCTCTGTGGTCCATTCAAAGGAAGACTGCCTAGTGGGGGTTTTCTCTGCTAGCACAATATGCGTTCTCCAGTGTAGTTTGAACATTCATTCAGCAAACCATTAGGGCTTGAGTTTCTCAGAGGAATGTGTGGGGAGGAGAGATGTAAGGGGTTGAAATTAGCTAGTGATAAGGTCTCTTGTAACCGCCCCCAACCTCCCAGAGAATAAAAGCTATCTCAGCAGATCTTAAAAGAGAGATCTAGTGAACAAGGAAGAAAATTATCTCATGTTAGAAATCAGTTTAATGCTACATGAATTGTTTTGCTAATGATTTAGTCAAGCATTTAACAACTTTAAAATATACAAATCAAGATTGAAAATGACTACCTCAAAAATGAATCTGTCATTATAGACATAAACGAGATTCCAAACATTTAAGCATTTTGTAGATGGATAAAAATTATATTGTATTTAAACGTGCTAATTATTGTTGAATAGAAATGACTTTAATGTGCTAACCTTTTATTTCATGCCCATTATTCTTAGCTAAAAATATTTCTTGCATGCAAAATTTGCATGTATTTAACATGATTTTAAAATTGAACAAGTCCACTAAAATGGCCATCTCTGGAACAATCTAGAGCTGTAGCCCTAAAAGCTTGTAACTGTAGGTCATACCTCAAAAAGGAAAACTGCGATGTACTTGATTAGCCTGTCATGTAGACAAAACAATTGGCACAGTTGACTGCATTTTTCATTTTGTCTTTCTTTTTCTGATTGTTGTGGGATAAAGAAAGGGAGATTTCAAAAACTTGTTTACTGATAAATGGAAAGAAATATGTTGCTGATTAGAGAATTCAAGACCACAATTGGGGGAACTTTTCGAAGGATGGTTCTGTGTGTGCATTTCACCTGTGCTATAACTCAACATCATCATCATTGCAACTATAATTTGTGTATTTACTTCCCCAAGCTTGGATTAAATGCTTTAAATACTCAATTTCATTTGATTCTTCTAACAACTTTATGAGATAGAACCTGTTATGATCCCTGTTTATAGATGAAGTGATGGAATCACATACGTACTCAGTGAT